ACTGAGAATTCTCTATTTAGCTCTGTACCCCACCTTTCAAGTGGATCCTTTGGTGTTTTGGAGACTTGTTTCTTGAGTTCTTTGTAAATTTTGGAGATTAGCCCTCTGTCAGATGTAGGGTTAGTGAATATCTTTTCCCATTCTGTGGCCTGCCTTTTTGTCTTTTTGACTGTGTCCTTTGCCTTACAGAAGCTTTTTAGTTTCAGAAGGTCCCATTTGTTAATTGTAGATCTCAGTGCCTGTGCCACTGGTGTTATGTTTAGGAAGTGGTCTCCTGTACCAACTCGTTGAAGAGTATCTCCCACTTTCTCTTCTAAAAGTTTCAGTGTGGCTGGATTTATGTTGAGATCTTTGATCCATTTGGACTTAAGTTTTGTACAAGGCGATAAACCTGGATCTATCTGCAGTCTTCTGCATACCAGTACCCAGTTATGCCAGCACCATTTGTTGAAGATGCTTTCTTTTTTCCATTGTACAGTTTTAGCTTCTTTGTCAAAAATCAAGTGCTCATAGGTGTGTGGGTTAAAATTAGGGCTTTCGATTCGGTTCCATTGGTCTACCTGCCTATTTTTGTGCCAATACCAAGCTGTTTTCAGGACTATAGCTCTATAATAGAGCTTGAAGTCAGGTATGGTGATGCCTCCTGAAGTTCCTTTATTGTATAGGGATGTTTTGGCTATCCTGGGCCTTTTGTTTTTCCATATAAAGTTGATTAATGTTCTTTCCAGGTCCTTGAAGAATTGTGATGGAATTTTGATAGGGATTGCATTGAATCTATAGACTGCTTTTGGCAAGATTGCCATTTTTATTATGTTGATCCTACCAATCCAAGAGCATGGGAGATCTTTCCATTTTCTGGTATCTTCTTTGATTTCTTTCTTTAAAGACACAAAGTTCTTGATATACAGGTCTTTCACTTCCTTGGTTAACATTATCCCCAGATATTTGATGCTGTTTTTGGCTATTGTAAAAGGTGATGTTTCTCTGATTTCTTTCTCAGTCACTTCATCATCTGTATATAATAGGGCCACTGATTTTTTTGAGTTTACCTTGTATCCTGCCACATTGCTGAAGGTGTTTATCAGCTCTAGGAGTAACCTTGCGGAGTTTTTTGGGTCACTTATGTAAACTATCATATCATTTGCAAATAGTGAAAGTTTGACTTCTTCTTTTCCTATTTGTATCCCCTTTATCTCCTTTTGTTGTCTTATTGCTGTAGCTAGAACTTCAAGTACAATATTGAAGAGATATGGAGAGAGTGGACAGCCTTGTCTTGTTCCTGATTTTAGAGGAATTGCTTTGAGTTTCTCTCCATTTAGTTTGATGTTAGCTGTTGGTTTACTGTATATTGCTTTTATTATATTCAGGTACGTTCCTGTTATCCCTGATCTCTCTAGGACCTTTATCATGAAAGGGTGCTGGATTTTGTCAAAGGCTTTTTCAGCATCTAGTGAGATGATCATGTGGTTTTTCTTTCGCAGATTGTTAATATGGTGGATTACATTGATAGATTTTTCTAATGTTGAACCATCCCTGCATTCCTGGAATGAAGCCTACTTGATCATGGTGGATGATTTTTCTGATGTGTTCTTGAATCTGGTTTGCGAGTCTTTTATTGAGTATTTTTGCATCAATGTTCATGAGGGAAATTGGTCTATAGTTCTCTTTCTTAGTTGTGTCTTTGTGTGGCTTGGGTATCAAGGTAATTGTAGCCTCGTAGAAAGAGTTTGGCAGTGAGCTTCCTGCTTCTATTGTGTGGAATACTTTGAGGAGTATTGGAATTAGCTCTTCTTTGAATTTCTGGTAGAATTCTGCACTGAAGCCATCTGGGCCTGGGCTTTTTTTGTTTGGGAGACTTTTGATGACTGCTTCTATTTCATTAGGGGCTATAGGTCTGTTTAGATTGTTTATCTGTTCTTGATTTAGTTTTGGCAAGTGATATCTATCCAGGAAATTGTCCATTTCCTTTAAATTTTCAAATTTTGTGGAGTACAGATTTTCAAAGTATGCCCTGATGATTCTCTTGATTTCCTCAGAGTCCGTTGTTATGTCCCCTTTTTCATCCCTGATTTTGTTAATTAGCATGCTCTCTCTCTGTCTTTTAGTTAGTTTGGACAGAGGTTTGTCTATTTTGTTGATTTTCTCAAAGAACCAACTCTTTGTTTCATTGATTCTTCTCAGTGTTTTCCTGGTTTCTACTTGGTTGATTTCAGCCCTCAATTTGATTATTTCCTGGCGTCTGCTCCTCCTGGGGGAGTTTGCTTCTTTTTGTTCTAGAACATTCAGCTGTGCTATTAATTCTCTAGTATGACTGTTCTCCAGTTTTTTCATGTGGGCACTTAGTGCTATAAACTTTCCTCTCAGCACTGCTTTCAAAGTGTCCCATAAGTTTGTGTATGTTGTGTCTTCATTCTCATTGAAATCGAGGAAGTCTTTAATTTCTTTTTTTATTTGTTTCTTTACCCAGGGATGGTGCAATTGTGCATTGTTAAATCTCCATGAGTTTGTAGGGATTCTGTGATTTGTGTTATTGTTGAATTCTAATGTTAATGCATGGTGGTCTGATAAGATGCAGGGGGTTATTCCAATTTTTTTGTATCTGTGGAGATTTGCTATGTTTCCTATTATGTGGTCAATTTTAGAGAAGGTTCCATGTGGTGCCGAGAAGAAGGTATTTCCCTTTGTATTTGGGTGGAATGTTCTGTAGATGTCTGTTAAACCCAGTTGGGTCATAACTTATTAATTCTTTTGTTTCTTTGTTAAGTTTCTGTCTGGAGGTCCTGTCTAGCGGTGAGAGCGGAGTGTTGAAGTCTCCTACTATTAGTGTGTGAGATTTTATGTGCATTTTGAGCTTTAGTAATGTTTCTTTCACGAATGTAGGTGCCTTTGTATTTGGGGCGTAGATGTTTAAAATTGAGACTTCGTCTTGATGTATTTTTCCTTTGATGAATATGAAGTGCCCTTCTTCATCTCTTGATTGATTTTAATTTGAAGTCTAATTTGTTAGATATTAGGATTGCTACGCCCGCTTGTTTCTTGGGGCCGTTTGATTGGAAGATCTTTTCCCAGCCCTTTACTCTGAGATAACGTCTGTCTTTGATGTTGAGATGTGTTTCTTGTATGCAGCAGAAGGGTTCTGTCTTTGTATCCATTCTGCTAGTCTGTGTCTTTTTATAGGCAAGTTGAGGCCGTTGACATTGAGGGATATTAATGACCATTGATTGGTGATCCTTGTTTGTGCTTGATTTATTGTTAGTGAAGTTATTTTGTGTAGTTTCTCCTCCCTTTTTCTTTTGGTGTTTTGTAAAGTATGATTATATATTGCCTGTGTCTTTGTGAATGTAGTTATCTTCCTTGGCTCTAGGTTTTCCTTCTAGCATTTTCTGTAGAGCTGGATTCATGGATACGTATTGTTTAAATCTGGCTTTGTTATGGAATATTTTGTTTTCTCCATCTATGGTAATTGAGAGCTTTGCTGGATATAGTAGTCTGGGCTGGCATCCTTGTTCCCTTAGCGTTTGTAGGACATCTGACCAGGATCTTCTGGCTTTCATCGTTTCCATTGAGAAGTCAGGTGTAATTCGGATAGGTCTGCCTTTGTATGTTACTTGGCCTTTTTCTTTAGCTGCTCTTAATATTTTCTCTTTACTCTGTAGGTTTGATGTTTTGATTATTATATGGCGAGGTGACTTCTTTTTCTGGTCAAGCCTATTTGGTGTTCTGTAAGATTCTTGTACTTTCATAGGCATATCTTTCTTTATGTTAGGGAAGTTTTCTTCTATGATTTTGTTGAATATGTTTTCTGTACCTTTAAGTTGAATTTCTTCACCTTCTTCTATACCTATTATTCTCAGGTTTGGCTTCTTCACAGTGTCCCATATTTCCTGGATATTTTGTGTTAAGGATTTGTTGGTTTTGAGATTTTCTTTGGTTGACGACTCTATATCCTCTAATGAGTCTTCAACACCTGAGATTCTCTCTTCTATCTCTTGTATTCTATTGGTGATACTTGCATCTGTAGTTCCAGTTCGTTTACCGTGCTTTTCTATTTCCAGCATCCCTTCATTCTGTGTTTTCTTTATCGTTTCTATTTCAGCTTTCAATCCTTCAACTGTTTGAGCTGTTTCCTTAATTTTTTTGGTTGTTTTTTCTTGGTGCTTTTTAGATTCTTTGAGAGATTTGTTTATTTCTTGAATTTTTGCCCCCATTTCATGGATTTTTTTGTTTGTTTTTTCTTCTATTTCTTTAAGGGATTTCCTCGTTTCTTCTTTGAGGGTCTCCATCATCTTCCTGAAATAATTTTTAAGGTCTGTCTCCTCTTCTTTGTCTATGTAGTGCTTTTCGGGTCTTGCTGGTGTTGGATCCCTGGATTCTGGTGGGGTGATGTTGGTGTTTCTATTGCTGAGTGATCTCTTATTCTGTCTTCTTCCCATCTCTTCTTCCAGTGGGTGCTGGTGGGGTCTTTCCGTCTCCACTGGTCTCCTTCCTTCCTGCAGCTGAAGCTGGGGATGCTGAAGCTGGACTCGCTGGGGTTGGGGTCTTGCAGGGGCTGATGTCTTTCCTGAAGCTGGACTCGCTGGGGTTGGGGTCTTGCAGGGGCTGATGTCTTTCCTGAAGCTGGACTAGTTGTGGTTGGGGTCTTGGAGGGGTCTAGCCCGTTTTTTAAATCGAGTCTAGCTTTTATTAATTTCTCCCAGATGCCTTTAACAAGTTTTAACCATTTTATCCATTTGTCTGCATCTTTTCTGCACTTGAATGTGTTCTTCCCTTGGCTTGGGATGCCCTTCCATTGCCTCTTTCTGAAGTTTTCCCTGTCTTCAGAGATGTGCCATTACTCACACCTTTTTTCTCTAATAGTTATGTTTAATTCACTGAAAATATTTTGAGTGTGTACTTCATGAAAAAGTAAATGCAAGTTGTTAATGTTTAACCAATTGCAGAAGTTACTTGGAAAATACTAAACTTTTGTATGTATTGCTGCTTTTTTATTTCTTTTCTAGTGTTCTTTTGAAGATAATGCAATCCGTTCCTTATTAAAACCTTTAGAAATGGAATTACAGAAGACAGTTCACACATACTGTGGAAAAACATACAAAATTTTTATCAAGCAGTTGACGAAAAGCATAAGAAACCGTTACGACACACCACCAAAGGAGAGGTGACTCTTTGAGACTGCTGAGCTAAATGATGAAGTGGTAGAGCATCAGAGATGTGAAGAAATTGTAGTGGAGGCGGATTTAGTGAGGCCTTTCTGTCTCCAGAGTAATCGTCTCCTGAAGTTAAAAGAGCAGTATATTCACGCCATGAAGAATAAGTTAAACCCTTGGGCTCCTGTAAGAAGACAATGTTGATCTCAGATATTTTGTGACATTACTTGGTGTCATTCCAGTGTTAATGAAAACATTGAACAGTGTGGCCTCAGGAGCTGTGTTGGCTCTTGAATCAAGTAAGTAAGAACAGTGGGGGAGTGGATGGAGAAAATGTACCTCGCACACAGTGAGACATTCAAGCTGTGAGTATAGCAATAATTTTATGTCAGCACTAACCTCACTTTAAAGTGTGAGAAAAAAGTTTACAGGAGCAGAACAGTTCTGTTTCTTAAGAAATGTGATATAACCAATGTAACCATTGACAATCTATGTACCCGCATACATTTCATCTCCTACAATATCTTGTGACAATCATGTTTAAAATTATTTGTAGACTTTTAAGAAAGCTGCACATTTAAAAATTAGCAGTGTGAGAAAGAGGGAAAGTAATGAAAAGTTAGGGAGGCATTTGTGTGTGATTCATGCGTGGGTGCGTGTGTGCGTGTGTGCGTGCTTGTGTGTGTGTCTTGAAAAAAATTAAGAGTTTTTATTTTGTATGTTTTAAACTGTCTTGCCAAACCTAGACTCTAAGATACTTGGGGACATTTTAAAAATCACCTTAAGTGAAAAATCAGCTTTACTGGGCATTCTGGAAGCAAAATATATTATGCTGATAATGAAGAATGAGAACTTAATCGCAACACTACCAGGACGGTGGAAAATGCAGGGGACCAAATGTATAAGCCTGTGAGAATGAAAAGTGGTCCATGTAGACTTCCTTCTACCTCAAAGTGCATACCAGGATCCTTTTGAAGAGGCAAATGCAGAGCCTTATTTAGATTAGACAGCTGCAATGGACAGTTCTGAGGAAGAGGATTTTTGTATCTAGCTGTAGAAAAGTCGTTTTGATTTGAGTAATGTGCATATTTCCTGTTTTGAATATCATTGAAGACAGTTGCCTTTTTAAAATCTGGAGGATGAGAAGCATTACTCCGTGTGCCTTTTGTCTTGACACCTAGTGTAGCTGTGGATTCTGAGTGGCAGTGTGGATTCTGAGTGGCAGTATGTGCCTTCTGGAGCACGGGCCTCATCCTCCCTGGTGCTCCCTGGTATCACCTTTTCTCTTGTGTTCTAATACTTACACAGAGAGAGGGAAATTATGAAGGAACCATTTCATTTATGAAGAGCATGTATCCTCTGCAGAGGAATGTTCACAAGAAGTGGTCATTACAGTTGCTCCAACTTCTGCAGTTCAGCCAGGGACATTCTAAGAGGTTTAAAATACAGTTAGAAAGTATTTGTCCCTTTGTGCCCAGAACAGGGATTGCTAGCCAACTCTACTCTAGAACAGATAGACCGAGAGCAGCAGCCACAATTCCTTGGCAGAGTGCCGTTGTGAAGTAAGAACCTGTGAACTGTGTTAAAGTTTAGCTTCTTAGATAGAAAAATGAGAGCCTATCCTTTGAAATTTGGCCGATAATCTGAGGGAGCTTGCTAAAAACAAATAGCCTATGTGTACTGCAACTAGGAGTCTTCAAGAATTTTTTATTTTGCAGAGGTTAATTTTTAAATGAAGATAAAGAAGTAAATTTTTTAATGAAGAGATTAAAATTATATGAAAGCAATAGTAAGAGTGCTTGCTTAGCATGCTCAAGGCCCAGTACTACAAAAATGGGAAGGAAGTGAGAGTCTCATACAGTGGTACTCACTCAATTACCTATCTATTACCTGTCAGTATCTTGCCATGTTTACTTCCTTTATTCCCTTTTCTTATATTAAAGTCTCAGGCATCATTTTATGTCCTAGGAGTGAATGTTTCAGTGATTACACGTAACTCCAATAACTACATTATACCTAGCAAAAGGGGCAGCTGGCCTTTGGTTTCATCTCATAGCCAACCCTTAAACATCTCCCTGCTTGTCTTAAATGTGCTTGGGACGTGCTGATTCTGTTTTTAACGAGTTCCTCAGAAGGTTCTGTTATCACATAGTTTGGGAACTACTGGAAATTATTTTCCATCTTTAAGGTTGAAGTTGGGGGTCACGGCTATTGGTACAATTGCTAAATTAAAAGTGCCAGTTTTGGATAGAGGAAGCAGTTGGAGTTATTGACAAGATAGGAATTTATATGGCTAAGTTCCTTAATATTTTATTTTTTCAGTAGCTGGAGACTCAACCCCATGTGCTCATGATTGGTTGAGGTGGTAGAGAGGGACCTTAAAATGCATTCAAACTTGTTTTGTATAAAAAGAATTTGGAAATCCTCTAGAAAATATATTTTAAGAAATGCAGTTTTCCCTTATGAAGAAGAGCTCATGAGCTATGCTGTTGCTTGTCTTGGACACTGCGTACTCCTGGCTCTTACCTGCCTCCTGTCAGATATCAGGGTAATGACAAGAACAGGTTGGGGGCTGGACCTGGATTCCCTTCTTCTAGGCTTGAAGGGCACACAGATTGTACATAGTGTCTAAGAAGGGAGACTTGGCAGGGGTTACTGCAGGGACTTCTCTAGCTCTGCAGCCACACTAGTGTTGATGGAGGCTGGTTTACCCAGGGCCAGCTCCTCAGGCTGAGTGACTTTTGACTTGTCCTCCAGTGGAGATTGCTGATGGTATGTGGAAGGATCATGCTTTAAGGAAGAGAAAGTAGAGAAGAGAAGGATGATGCAGAGGAATAGTGAAGGAAAGGAAAGGAAAGGAAAGAGGGGTAAAAGAATGAGGAAAGGCTGAGTTAAGAAGAAAGATGGAATGACAGTGGGGAAGTGGAAATGGAGGAAATGGTGTGGAAACACAGGGTCTCCCTGCCTAGGTCAATGCTTGCCTTATACCTACACAGCCAGGACAGGTGCCTTCTGGGTGGGGACAGCAAAGTCAGCCTTGTTTATTGATACCAGACGTGTCTTGGTCACTTTGTTTACTGGTCTTTTAGTAGTAGCTGTCCAATATTTTTTGTTCTTTCCCTGGGTCCCACTTTCTGTTTCAGGGTCCCTCAGCATCTCCAAGGGAAGGTGGCATGAAGAGAACTGCTTCATTGTGTCTAAATCTGGTGGAGCAGTTTCTCTAGCATTGGAAATAGGAGGCCAGTAGGGAAGTCACTACCATGCCTTGAGTGGTGGCTGGAACAGTGGTCAGTATGTTTAATCCTCAGTGGGAATACTTTAAGTTGGACTGGTGTGAGTGAATTCAAGAGGACAGAAGATGGCAGAAACAATTAAAGAATATTCATTGTCAGGGCAGAGAGTTGGTTCAGTGGTTACAAGCACTTGTTCCCAATGCCCATGTGGTGGTCCACAGCTATCTCTAACTCCAATTCCAAGGCATCTAGTACCCTCTTCTTACCTCTGTGGACACCAGATACACATGTGGTGCATATACATACACATAGGCAACACACACATAAAATAATCTAAAAACCTAAAAATAAATACTCATTCTCCTTTTCAGTTGCCTATATAGTAACATGTAGTACAGGCACAGTCAAGCCTCTGAGATGTTTTTAGAAAGACGGTTGAGCTGCCCTTTCAAACAATGTTTTTAGTTTCTTGGAATAAATAGAGAAGAAAAATAAAGTGTGCAATATGTCAGGTGTGGGACCAGTTATCCATTTTTTAGGTGTAATTTCAAGCATCTTAAGTAATAATTGCCTTATTTACTACATTTTAATATTTAATGGAGGTAGACTAAGATGACTAGTATCACAGTAGTCATCTTTTTCTATATTGCCAAAGCAGCCCTTTTTGTCTTCTAAAGCTTGTCTAACTTGTTCTGATGTTTGTTGTTTTTTAATTCATTGAAGATAAAACTAGATTTAAAAAAACTAAGTTATATAGTTAAGACAGTTGTCTAAAAACTGTTATAAGGTTTAAAACTGGGCATGCTAGCACATGACCTGTTACCCAACACTTGGGAAACTAAGGTACATTGAAGGCCACTATGGCCTTTGTTGAGATCTTATCGCAAAAAGCCAAAAAAAAATGCTAAACGTCTATGTTACTCAAATATATAGTAATATCAGGATTATGAGAAAACATAGCATATTGACCTGGGCTGATTACTATCAGTGACGGTTTACTTTTGAAAACTTGTCACCTCATCCGAACTAATAATTGTAAGTATCTACTGGGATTTCCTTAGGCTTTTCTATAAATTGATGTTTCAAACAATCAGGAGCTTTGTAGGGAATTTCTCTCTATAATACTGTGAATACCAGATATTTACTTTCAAACTTGAGAACTGATTGGAGCCTTTGACCTGTGTAGATTATGTATGTAGTTGAGCTATGAGAGCATATTCAGACATATAGCATACCATGACAGCTCCTAAAAGTTCATTTAAGAGAATGTGATAACTACATGTCATTTAAAAACTCAGTGGTTTCACTGTGATAGTTGCAGTAGAGATCCATTTGAATTGTTACAAGTGGATTTTTTAAAAAAATATAATAGTTGTTAATTTTTATATAAAATCTTCAGGGAATACTGAAATGTTTCAAAATAATCCATAGCTTGCGGTATTGCTGTAGACTGTTGTCCATTCAGAGTTGAGCAGAACATGCCTTTGTATCTCATGAATTACCATTGACATCTGACAGGTGTCAGTGAATGCTGGATCAGGTCTGTGCGCTGGAATTCAGAGTCTGGAATCAATTTGCATGAGTCTGTTAGTGTACTGAGTAGAATTGTCTGAAACTACAGGAAGGCTTTGTGATGAACCATGTTGCATAGACAGCATTGTGACGAACCATGCTGTGTAGACATTACTGCCTTGAAACTGCTTTTACCTTAAACTGTTTTGGTTTTATAATAATGTGAATATCTTTCAGTTGCTTTTGTATCTTGAAAATTCTTTTAAAGGGGAGTATAAAATTATAGATGTATGGGGTCTAGCTTGCCAGTATTGGAAGATGCCTTATTCTGTTTTGGAGGGGTTCAGCTCAGGTTTTTCTTGAGAAACTGTATTGCTGTTACTAAAGATATACTCAATAAATATTGGATTTTCTCATGTGTTGTAATTATTTTACCAGGCAAAACCATTTTACAGGCTGAGCAGATGACTCAGCAGTTTAGAGTACTTGGTACTCTTTTTTTTTTTTTTTTTTTTTTTTGGTTTTATGAGACAGGGTTTCTCTGTTTTGGAGGCTGTCGGTCCAGCCTGGCCTCGATCTCACAGAGATCCGCCTGCCTCTGCCTCCCGAGTGCTGGGATTAAAGGCGTGCGCCACCAATGCCCGGCGGAGTACTTGGTACTCTTGCAGAGGACCTGAGTTCCATTCCTGAATTAGGATCCTCAACACCTAAGAGCCTGCATGCTGATGGACACCATCTACAGCTGAGGACTCAAAGTCACGTATTCTTGGGATTTTGAACAGTAACAAATCTCTATTAACAACTACCCATGCAATACGATGATTCTCTAACCAAGGCCAGGAGCAGTTCATACCTGTGGCTATAAATATAAATATTTAGGAAAGGCAAACAACTTGTCTTGGTTACTCTTCTATTGCTGTGATAAACACCATGTGTAAGACAACTTAGAAAAGGGAGCATTTAATTTGAGGGCTCATAGTTCCAGAGTGTTAGAGTCCATGACCATAATGGTAGGAAGCATGCCATCAGGCAGGCAGGCAGGCATGGCACTAGAGCCGTAACTGAAAGCTTACATGTGAACGACAAACAGGATGCAAAGGCAGACACTGGAAATGGCAGGGATTTTGAAACATCAAAAAACTGTTGACTTCACACACCTCCAATAAGGCCACAACTCCTAATCCTTCCCAAACAGTTCCACTAACAGAGAGACCAAATATTCATGTATATGAGTCTGTGGGAGCCTTTCTCATTCAGACCACCACAGTGGCCATGTAGAAAAGAATAGAAAGTTACCCCTAGATACTATGGCTTTTCTAGTGATGGGCTTTGACCATGTGCACAGTACTCGGCATGAATTCCTTGCTGTAAAGCAGGTGTCAAATCCAATCAAGAGAGTGACTGTTTATTCCCCATAAGCAATCTTATGCACCAGGGGTAATTCTGCCTGGCGAGTCAGTACTGTATCACATGGGGTCTGGCACTGGACAAGCCTTTAATGTGTTTCCTCCCCCCATCTACCCATAGAATCATGCATAGCGCCTTTCACCATTGTGAAAGCTAGCTGGTAAGGAGAGGGCTTCCTAGTTAGTTCAGGATTAACTTCTCTGTGCCCTGCAACTGATAGGGAGAGATCATGTATCTGCAGCTCAACTAAAGTATGTGATGTTTTCAGAAGCAGGGTTTTACCATGTACTTACAATGGGCCTCCAAGAGCAGTGGCCGTAACCAATATTTGGTTGGGTGCTTTTGGGACCTTCCTGATCAGTAACTTATATAGTAACCTATGCCTGGCACTGTGATTTTATTTTTAAATTCAATTATGTACATCTTCTGGGAGCATCATGGCTCACTAATGTAGGTTGGTCATCTTTTTTCAAACTCCTTTTAAAAATCACACACACGAACACACATGCACACGGTTACAAACTAACGAGATTCATGAGCATCTTCATACATTCTTGTATGTAGGTTTGGTTAATCTACATCCTACCCCCATTTCCCTTACCCCACTGTCCCCTCCATGCATAAACCTTTGATCCCTGTATGCCCCAAGCTCTGCTTTTTATATTACATGTGTTCTACTATTTCTTCATCTTGTGTGTTTTATTTGGATTGCAAGATCATAAATTCCCAAGGTACCTTCTTCCGTGCATGCTTCTTTTCCCCATCCCTGTCACTCTGACCGGTTTGAGTCCTCCTTCCACCATCCCCCTTTCTACTTAGACTCCCCTTTGCATCTCCCCCACCACCAGTGGTCCATTCCACTTTTCTGTCTTCTGCATCTACTCTAAGTTAAACACGCAAAACTAAAAGTTTGAATCTGGCATCAGCGTATTCCGGAGGACATGTGTCTTTGCGGCATGGCTACTCTATTCATAGCAGCTAGGAAATGGAACCAGCCTAGATGTCTATCAACTGATGATTTGGTAAGTAAATGTGATATATGTACACAGTAGAATGATACTCAACAATAAAGAATTAAATTTGCAGGTAAATCATTGGACTGGAAAAAACTAGACTGGCTGAGTTAATTACTTGAGAGGATTCATGACCTAGAGATGACCAAGAAGAAGTGACATCGTGGATCCTACTACTCTCGTTACTTTACTCATATTTACCTTCCCACAATTTACCTCCTTGGGATAACTCCTCTGAATTCATTCTTGAAATACCATATGAACTCTTGTCTTCCTGCCTGTTCGTATCTATATTCCTCTTACATGAAGGCCTCCAAATAAATTTTGCCTCCCCCGTGACTTGTCTTTCGCCAATTGGTTATCAGGACCTAGGAAGGTAGAGCAGAAGTGTTCCTCTACAACCCATCCATTGGAGTTCAGTCCCAGAAGTAGCTACCAGGAAGGTAACAGGGTAGGGACTGATTATAAGAAGGTGGATGTACTAATTATAAGGGAAGCTTCTGGAAGTTGGAGGATCAAGACAGCTACTAGCTGTTCCAAAGAGCTGGTTTGGGTGGACAGTTTGGAACTTACTGGAAAACATGAGAAGCCCCATCACACCCTACCAGAAAGGAGGAGCCTGAGGCCAGGTCTTAGGACACTACTGTCTGCGTTGCTGCCTCCTCTGGAACTGAGGCATGCAGATGGCGCTGAAGCAGAAGGAAATGGAAAGGTAGGACAGGAGGGAACCTGCAGGCGGTTGTGTCTCAGGTCATCACTGAAAATTCCTTCCCAGAGTATGGGTAGAAACTGTTTTGCATGCTAGCAAAGTTGGAGAAAATGTGAGTGAAGGAAGGGAGGAGGAGAGGAGTAGGTAGACAGAGAGGGAGAGAGAAATGGAGAGAGGTTTGTAGACTTTAAAATGCTGGACTTTATCAGTGTGAAGTTTTTTTGTGTGTGTAACTAATGGCTCCATTTCCCATTTAGAAGCCATGTTTGATGGATCTATTACTTTTCTTGATCAATTAGTATCCACACTGGAGATTCTATTCAATGCTTGTGAGGTAGCAAGTTAGTCACGTGAAAGACAGGAAGACAGCAATTGTAATTGCTGAGTTGTAACTTAGCACAATTCCAAGATTTTTAGTAAACTCTTATTTAAATTTACTATATTTTGGGCTAAGGAGATGGCTCAGTGGGTAAAAGAGCTTGCCACACAATCTGGATAACTTGTGTTCAGATCTTCAATACCCACCAAAGCCATTCTGCAAGAATGTAATCCAAGCTTTCCCCTATGGAGAAATGGCATATGGAGACAGAATAATCTGTAAAGCAGTGTTTCTCAACCTGTGGGTCACAACCCCTTTGGGGGTCATACGACCCTTTACAGGGTTGCCTAAGATCATCAGAAGACACAGACATTTATACTAGTAAAATCACAGTTATGAAGTAGCAACAAAAGCAATTTCATGGTTGGGGTCACCACATCATGAGAGATTGTATTAAAGGGTTGCAGCATTAGTAAGGTTGAGAACCACTGATCTAGAGGCTTGTGATCCAGATGGCCTGGCTTACTCAGTGATGAAGAGACCCTATCTCAAGATGGAAAGGTAAGGAGTGACACCAGAAGGTTGTCTGACCTTCACACATGCCTCTCATGCTGTTCATGTCTGCACACATATATATGAACAAACATACATATACTCATCTGTAATATTTTTTTCTGAGGTACTACCTGCAAAGTTAAGGGGGAAGACAGTTCTTCTGGGGGAAGGAGTGACAATACAGTGGTAATCTTACAAACATCATTGCCATCAAGGACCGCAGCATAAGAACACCAGGACACCAAAGCAGAAGAGCAAACTCCCTGTTTCTAGACACCTGTGAGGTGGTCCACTGAGGACCTCAAATGTACTTGCAGGACAATAAAGGAGATTGATGTTCAAGCCATAAGGCCAGAAGATGGAGGCTTAATTGAGGTTGTGCCTGAAGATACCACATTGTATCTTTCTTAACTGTACTGATTTGTATTTGGTTTAGCACTATGATCATTTAGAAATCACAGACTATACTTCAGCCATCTGTCCAGTGTCTGGAATACTGAGTTTCATTGTGACAGTGCTGGCATTACACAGCCTATCCAATAAGACTGGGGAAGGCAGGACAAACTGAGGACCAAGGCCAGGTCAGCAATAGTGCTAGCCTCTTTCTGAGAACAATGGAATTGGGCACTTGGAAACAGTGCAGGGATTACTTGGCAATAGCAGCACTTTATGAACACAGGTACCCCTCACTGCCAAAAAGAAAGGATACAGGAACATGAAATCCGAAAAATTAGGAGCGTCATATATACTGCGCAGAAATTGTAGCTCAAGTTGGCTTTGTGCTGGTCATTTGACAAGAAGCTTTGAAAGTAGGAAAGCATCAGGGTGATGGGGCAGATACTGGCATGGGGTACTTAATGAGGCAAGTATTTGCAAATTGGGTTAAGGAAACAGCACAGGATCTCACAGCAGTGGGCAGCCATTACCCCATCCTAACTTACTCTAAGGTAGAGGGTTCCAGAACTCAGCATCATCCAGCAGTAAGGAGAAGCCTGGTAGGAAGCCCATGACAGAGTCCTTGCTGTCTGATCCCAGACCTCACACTTGGGGAGGAGTTTGATGGAGAGTGGAGCTGGGTAGGGGGCACACAGGAGCTGCCTAGCACAAGTGCCGTTAAACGAAGCTAGTGTGTGCTTGGTACTCCTGTGGGTGTTAGGTCACTTTTGTGTTGCTATGTGAAAAATGTGTGATGCATCCTGGGAACTGAACCCAGATCTTCTGCAGAAGCAGCGTGTGCATAACCACTGAGCCATCTCTCCAGTCCCAAGTTGCAGTTTCAATAGGTTTATTTCACCTAGTTCTAACAAGGGTCTCCCGAGTTGTTTCTGCTGCATCTACTCATAACCCTGCTGCGTTCCAGTAGTTTACACAGCCTCCAGGAATCGCCGAAGATCTTTGTTGGAAGTCTAG